TTTCATAAAATAACACTGGGTTAACCAGTGCAATAAACAATAAGTTTCAGACCAATCAGGGCACTCATGGCATCTCAATTCTTTTGTAAATTACTATAATCTCAGCTATCATCATCACGGCACACATTACAGTGCCCACTAATATTCCTTGAATTACAATTACTCTTACTGATTGCACTTCACTATAAAAGAGAAATTAATCATAATTACCCTATTGTTATGTTATAAATTTTAGACCATGATTTGAAAAGCAGGGCTTAGTTATTTTGTTGTAAATGATCTTGCGACAAACAATCACACTGGTTCGATATACACTATTTATTCTTCCAACTCCCTAGCAGCTCTGATCTCACAATTAACCCTTTAACTCCCATGAGTGACCAAGACAGAATTTCTCCTTACAATATCAATACAATATCAACCAGATAAGTGATGAGAATACAGAAAATATCAATTTGGTGATAATAAGTTGATCCAATACTAAATTCTCTGAACTAACATTATAAGAATTCTATGGTTGACAGTAATGAGAATTACAAATTTGATCTGGGAGATAAAGGGTCAATAACCCTAAATCATTATCATACTTCCATCACCAATCTATTGACAAGCTCATTGTAACGCTTCGGTCATGACAACCATCAGCTACTTAGGTGATTTATGGAGAAAATTTAACATTATTAAGAGGAGAAAGTATTACTAGGTACAACAATGTCAAAAATAACAAACAATATGAGTCATCTGAACTCTTTTCTACTTGGGTTTGAGGATGACATCAGTTCATTGCCCCTAGCTCTCCTTTCCGTTGTTACACACTCCTTAAATAATCCAAACAGTTACAATCTGTCCTGATAAGGAGCTCCTGGAGAAAAGTTGATTAACAAGTAAATTCTCCCATAAATATCACAGTCCTGTCCAGAAGATAGATGATGAGAAGGGACAGTCTTATCATTAACAGTGTAATCACAATATAAGTTCTCCTCAGTATTTACAGGAAGTTCATGGCAGCTGGCTGTGCACTTTATCTAACAATTGAGAATTCGAACCGTTGGTAAAACTTCCGCACAGCCCCATACTATTGTAAAACAAATCTGTTTTCCCAATAGCAATGTACTGTTTTTGTCAATGTTTTCTCTATACTAGAACTGAATGCATAATGTAGTATGGGGCTGTGCGGAAATTTTACCCACAAGAACACGCGCCACCTTTCTGGCCTTCGTTTCGTCAAAAAGAACCTTGTTCACGGATGTAAGATTATATTCCTTGTCCAAGAGACAGGAAGTTTAAGGTACACTCGTAACTCACTTCACTTCTTGAGAATCCTGTTTCGTCTTAAATTCATCCAAGCCCTCCATTGCCCCATTTCCCTGAAGGTTCTCAGCGAAAAGTAAAGTGTACCCATAGCTGTAAATGTTCCAAAACTATAACCGACAACTGTCCATACATCAACCAAGCGATTTACTCGATGCACATCAGGCCACACATCGACATCTGCCATGTTAGTAACTTTTCTGGCTGCACCTCCGAGCACATTTATGTATGACAACAAGACATTCCTACTTTCCTTGCTTTCTTGGTCAAGCACGCCTTGAAGGAAGCTTTTATCTTCGTCCTCCATTTTGGATTTTTGTTAACGAGGTGTACTGGGCTCTAGTTAGAAAGAACGCAGACTCGAGAAAATAATTCATAGCCTAGCCTGAGGGGAGTGGGAGGGAGGGAGATTTTAGGAGAATCACATGGTTTTCAGGGGGGAACGGAGATGGAATCAGTCTTCGCTACCAGATTATAAAAGGGGACTATAGAAAATTTCTGATTAACTGCCAATGAGGGGGACAATAAGAATATTGGAGAGCCCTATAGGGGATCAGGTAAATTTTATTGTCACAGAAACAAAATTCTTCAATCCCCCTTCCCACCCCCAGGCGATAAAGGACTAAAGAAGAGCGCGTGACAATCAGCATCACCGTTTCCGGACAATATATGTACTGACTTACTGACTTCAGAGTCGTCGTCCATTTTCGGACAATTATTTGCATGTTTCACAGACATTTGACTCTCCTTCGTGTTGAGATATTTTCATCAAAGCATTGTCATTTTTCTCTGATGTACATCCTCACGTTTCCGCCCCTCGTCTTAAGAAAAGTGTTTTTGTGCTGTCGAGTTAGCAGTTTTCTGCGTCCGGCAATACAATCGTTTGATTAACTCTCCAAAACATGGAAGGTCGAAAAAATACCTGGATCCCACAAGAGACCGAACAACAGAAGCATATTCATAGAGGACTTCTCATTTTATTGATAATTCATTTACAATCTTTGTGAGAATTTTAGATATTAGCTCACTTGACAAGCTTTGCATAGTAAACATCCTGATATCGAAATAAGGATACAGGTTTTTAATTAAAAAAATAGAATACTATACTATTTCCATACCCTGTATTTGTAACTGAAGTTTCGCATTCGCGTTTAAACAACCTAGAGAACACCAAGTTTCAGATCTAAATTCAAAACAGGCATTTCAAGCAATTCAAGTCTTCGATCTGAAAATTCACATCTATCCCTAAGAAACATCTTTTCATTGCCCCATAAAACCTCACAAGTGATTAACATGTAAATTCTCCCCATAATATCCATACATTATCCAGCAAGCAGGTAATGAGAATACTCAAATTTATCAGGTAGAAGTCTTAATCTTGATCTACCACCAAACTCTCGTAACTAATTTACAAGGAAATGTGTAGGAGCAGGAGGGAAGAATTAACAATCAGATCTTAGGGGTTGATGGAATTCTTCAAGAATACAACAAAGTCAGCAAATGCACCTATTATAATGTTTAGATTTTTTTCTACATTTCTTTTTACACAATATCTCATCCTGTACGATATTTGATTTTTTTTTCAAAGATTTTGTACTTATCAAATTATTCTATTTTTTCGCGAAATGTTCTTAGCATCACGATGTTTGGAGTGTCCTTTCAGGATTATGTAATCGCTATTGTACTCAAACAATTTCTCTACTCACTGAACTTTTTTTTTTTTCCATAATGATGAATTAGATCAGACGCAAATACGTATATAAATATCATGAAACTCTGAAATATATCTCAATGTAAATTGTTATGCCTGTAGTGCAACCTCGATATAAAGAACACGATGAAGCTAAAAAAGAAGTGAAAGAATCGATGTCGCAATAAATGTGCTCAAAACTACCTTCGTTTTAAAAGGAGAACGTAAATAAGTAAGACAGAAAACACAAAAAGGCAATATAATTATTTTCAACTGATTGCTTTTGTTTCATGGCAGCCTTCGATTGGTCTAAAAATTCAACCAATCAGAGGAAAATGCAAATCCATCGCCCCATGGCCACTGACGTTTTACCGCGCTTTAGACAGATTAATTGGTTAATTTGGTTTTTTACGCTGACGCATTCAACAAAAATGTACTCTGATAAACCAAGAGAAAGCAAGAATAGCAAAGAAAAGCTTACAACAGACTGTCATGCGATGGTAAACTTAAAAATTCAAGCAAAATTTCTTTCTAGTCCAAAACCATGACCAAAAAACAAAAGGACAAGTCCTGTGTTTGAATCCTGTCGTGCATGTCTCAATATCTGTACCTTCAGGACCGTCACTGCTAGCATACTTCTCTATACAATAAATTGACAAAAGTTCACATACTATTCTTGGAGAAGATAAATGTTACTATCATTTAAAAACCTTCATATGTTAAATACTCGGTCCAAAAGTCTTCTTTATATAAACGGTTTTCTATCCATTGATGTTCTTTATTCCGGGATAGAAAAAAAACAAATATTTACATTTACAAATTTACCCAAACTCTTGATTGACGTAAAGTTTTAACAGCAAGACTTGTGATGCGAGCCCGCAGATCCCTTTAGATTTACCTTTTTCTTTTTGCCCTTACCATTTTTCACATTCTCTTCTCTGACTGGAGGGCACACTTTGTTTAAAATGTCTTGTGTGAGGAGAGTAAAAGCATGATCGATGTTGTCACTGGAAAGTGCGCTGGTCTCCACGTGTCGAATTCCGTGATTTTTGGCCAACGTCTCTCCTCTTTCTTTTGTTATTTGTCTTTGACTCACAAGATCACATTTGTTTGCAACAAGAATTCTTTCAACATCTTCGTTCGCGTTTTCTTCGATTTTCCTCATCCATTTCGAAATGTTGTGAAATGTTTTTTCTTTCGTGACGTCATACACCATCATGATACCCAAGGCACCGCGGTAGTAAGCTGTTGTGATGGTATGGAACCTACAGAGCAAAATAAGATGAAACTAATTGCCACCGAAAATAAACTTCCACTGACAAAGGAGTGAAATAGAAAAAAGTCTCATGATATGTAGAGACAAGGGCGACAGCAACATTTTCCATACTTCTCATTCAGAGAGGAAGATACACTGGCTGACTAGCAAAATCGACATATTCGACTAAATTCAAGTTGATTCCTAATATATTGCAGAGGATCAATTTTCATGATTGGCATTTACCAAATCTGGGTTTGGAAAACAGTTACCAGGCAAGTGCGCCCATCCAACCTTTTCCTAGGATCAATTATTTTTATTTCAGTTTTTTAAATCGACCAATAGCATGGATCCATTTTCACGAAAGAGAAGGCGATGTGAAACGAAAACTTTCATTGGGATGGCCCCAGAAAAACGTTTTCTCACCTCTCTTGTCCCGCAGTATCCCAAATCTGTAACTTTATCTTCTTTCCACCTGAAAAAACAATCAAATCAAAAGCCTTATCAGAGCGGATGTAAGTAACACTTCAGTTGCCAGCTGTTAACAACAAATAAGTTGGACATGAAACTTGATCAAAATTAAGCATATACGCGTTATTTCTGATTCGTCTCAGAGTAATAAACCAATAGTCCTATGAATCGCGAGTCCGTTAAATTTTCATGATAGTCAAAATCATTTGATTAGGGAAATTAATTGCCTCACACGCAGAAACCCTAATAAATCCCTTCGTAGTCGATACTAGAGATGTCACACAACGTCTTGTATTGCGTGACAACGCAAAGGCCGTCGTGGAAGGAGACGAAGGTTCCATAGGAACGTCATGATTGAGTGCTTTATTCTCATTTGATTTCCCCTTTAATCCCTTAATCAAGGCTATACAATGAAAGCATAATAACTACGGATAAGCTTCAATCAATTATAATCTGTCGTTTACGTAAGGGTCTTTTCAGTTGTTATGAAAAGGTTCTGTTAAATCGAGCGGAGAATGCTCGTAAAACGTACGCCGTGCGGAAGAAACACTGTCAATCGAGGGTTAGAGGTCAAAACTTATATTTTACTGACAAGCATCCTTCCTCACCGCAATGGAGGAAAACAAATCGGCGTATTTTTGCTTTTTCATTGTGCATGAAAACCGATAACGGTAATATTTTCTTCATAATGGATCCCTTCCTATCAGACAAGTCATTGAAGTCTAAAGAAGAAAGTACACTTTGATCAAGACTGGATTTATAGCGTTACGAACAGCGAATTTCAAAGACTTTTACGTAACTATGAACCACAAGAATTCGTCATGTAAGTAGTTTCGAGTACATGGTGTGATGCTTCCTCAGGTCCAATATGTAGGAGGATATTTCCTTTAAAGGAAAACATCAACATATTTCGCAGGTTAGATTGCAATACGTTATGTCATATTGCTCTCATTAGCTTAAAAATTATCGCTTACGTCATATCCACTTCCCCAAACAATTTAAGATATTAGGAAGAAGTATTTCCTTTTGAAATTCCTTACTCTTTTTTTTGTTGTTGTTTTTTTTTGTTTTCGCTAGACGACACGCAAGCTGAAGTATATCTTTCGTTTCTTAACTGAAAGTAAGAAAACAATGAAAAATGAAATTCATCGTTTGACAGCAGGGAGCGAAAGATGTTAATTTCAATAACAATATAGCATCCAGTGGATTCTACGCCTACTTCATACAATCAAACGCCAATGTTTTCCTTTAACAGAATCACTTTTGACGTAAAGATTGTCCTAGTGGTAAAGCTTTTTATGATCCTTTTAAAAGCTTATAACAGGCGAAGCCTTGGGGCAAAATAAATCTCCCTAATTCGAAACAATCGCTAATGTCAATTTCAGGCCGCTGTAATCATGTTCAAGTAAATGATCCGTGAAAGTGAAAATATTCCTCCGTTGAAAAATTGAAAAACAACAGCAAAAGCGAATTTTACGTCGAAATTTTCTGCTTCTAGCATATCAAAGTGAAATCACCCATCTCGACATATTTCAAGTGGCGCAGAATTCTATGGTTTAATTTGAATGTCATCTACCTGAACCGTAAATATGTAAATGCCATTACATTCGGTACGCGAAAGTTTCTTAGTTTCTAAGCGCTAATTCCCCGGCAAACACGCAATGAAATATGGTGCCATGCATTAAATATAGATCACAGATACTAGCAGACTTGTCTAGTGTTAAGTAAACACAGAAAAATTCTCCTTTCTCAATCAAGTGAAAAACAGTTCGCGGTTCTAATTTCCTGTTCATTCAAGCAAACGTCTACTGCATTGTACGGGCTATACTTACCGAGTTCTAGAGTTCTGATTTTAAAATCGATCCCAATAGTTGATATGAAAGTCGGATTGAAAGTATTCTCAGCGAATCGAAATATTATACACGTCTTCCCAACTCCGCTGTCTCCGATCAGAAGAAGCTTGAAAAACAAGTCAAAATTCTGCTTCGCCATTTTTAGAAGCTTGGTTCTATAAACGAACGCACTGTGTATTACGTGACTGAAGGAATCGTTAATGGGGAGTGGGGAGTGTATTTAATTGCTAACCGGAACCGGAAATGAAGCAACCATAGAGCGCTATAAGGCAGAGGCCTTTCAGGTGCCACAAAAAACGGAAGAAAAAGGAACTTAAAGGAAAAATAGGATTGAGTTCGTTTTGGTAACGGCTATATCACGAAAATGTCATAGCTGTGGTAAAATACGATAAAAATCGGAAAAGGGAAGCCTAACGAGTATAGAACGCAGACTTACGGATCAACCAGGTGACAGGTAGAGGAACAGAAACATTTCAAGCTAGACTAGCAGTATCTTTAGAAAGCCGAATACGAGTAATTTGAAGACTTCTCCCTTTTATCACCTCTTCAAAACCTTCCTTTAAGCATCACTTCCACAGTCATAGGAGTTTGAAATTTCTTGATTTTCCCTGACAAACGTAAAATTTCCCTGACTAACAAAATTGACAATTTCACCAACGAATACTGACAATAGCCTCCAACCTCAATTTCTTTATAGCATCCTCTCCATTCATGACTTGATGCTTTCATCAAGTCACATACAGTACGCATAAACTGATAGTTTTTTAGGTAACATAGAAAAATGATTTATTTTTTTTTGGAAACCCATCATCAGCTTGTCGTTGAATTTCATTCAACTAATACGCTAATCAATTCGAAGTTTCAATATCCCCCGGGCAACCCGCAGGCATTTGATCGCCGTCCGTGCTAGGGGGGGGGGGGGGGGGGGGGGAGAGGGGGAAAGGACAGGTAAACCTTGCGTGACTGTGGCAGTGAACTTGAACCGGAAGTGTCAAGTCTTTCCAGCAATATTTAACTGAGGGCATGTTTAAGGTAAATATTTCACTTTCGCGAGCAAATAGCTGAAAATAAAAGGTCTACAAAGTCTAGGTTTTAAACCTGGGTCAATGTATAGAAAGTCACCGTCGATGACTTTTCCCTTTACGAAAAATTGGGTGCGACATATGAACACAATTTTTCCCCAGATTGCGGGAATTTGAACAAATCAATCTTCAAAAGTTCAAATTCCCGGGGGGGTGCCCAGGGGTTGCACGGGGGGTTGCCTGGGGGGGTTGCCCGAAGTGGGATGTTGAGGCTTCGAATTGATCGACGCATAAATTCTACCAATCCAACATCTTTCACGTCTGTGATATCTGGCAAATAATTTTAAAAAGGTTAGAAACAGTTAAATAGAAGAAAAAAGATATATCATGTTTCACTCAAAAACCAATTAAACTTGCATTACTAAGGCAAGGATATGTTTTTCAGGAATCTGTCGACTATGCTAACATCGCCAAGTCAACTAAAACCGCCATCCACGTGTGTAAGCTGAACCGACTGATTTCATCTATTAATGATACTCGTAATTAACAAATCGGACTTCCGCTTCGCAGTCGTCCATTTTGTTAATTATCACTCCTACGATTACAGACCGAATTGGACTCGACTCAGCCCTATTACTATTACTATAACTATAACTATATTACTATATTACTATATCTAACAGTCCAGACGAATTGCACGTGCACCAGCTGAACCAAAAAAAAGATTAAATAAACTGCAATAATAAATTACAGTATCAGTAGGTGATCTACATTTTTTATAGCATTTCATACATATACTTCTCTTTCTTCTAACCTAAAACTATTCACGATAGAAACTTTACAGCCCCTCCTATAAAGCAAATAATTCTGGTGGCTTCATTTTGAGGGAGATGTAAAATTATTTGGTTCATTTCACTGAAAAATGGCAAATGACGTCAGCACGACATACAAGATGACTTTTTCGCTGGCTTAAAATCGTTCTCAGTTTCTCCATTTTCTCCAGAATGCGACAGGCTATTAAATATGTCTTTCGCTAATGTTGCGAATGCTTCCTCCACATTTAAATTTGACAGCGCGCTTATTTCTACATAAGGAATCCCAAGTCTACCAGCTAGTTCCTCGCCCCTCTCTCGTGTAATTTCCCGCTTTTCCTTCAGGTCACACTTGTTAGCGAGTAGGATTTTATTGATGTTTTTGTCGCAGTTTTCTGCAATTTTGCTGATCCAGCTTGCCACGCCCTTGAAGGACTTTTCGCTCGTGACGTCATACACTAACATGATTCCCATTGCTCTGCGGTAACATGTGGCAGTAATTGTGTAGAATCTACATAAAAAGTGGTGAAAAATAACATTAAGAAGCTGAGTCAGAATAAGACAAATCTTGCTCTGGTTTAGACCCGCATCTGTTATTGCGATAAAAAAATCTTAAGTGGAGCTAAGAAATTGTGTAATGTTCTTTGATACGGCACTTAATCCTAACAGCGCCCCTCTCCACCATCTGTCCACCCTGAAATATAGACATGAACGAGCCCAGGCTACATGTCTGCGAAACGTAACAAAGCATGGGCTACCTGCAACGAAGTAGCGTGTCATCCAAGAACAGTTGTAGCCTCCGATCAGCCCCTCATGGGGCCCTTTACTCCGTCCGCGGAAAGATTTGATACGAGTCGGGAAGAGGTTTGTAAGAGGTCTGGCACTAGTAATGAGTGCTTGACCGCTTGCAGACCTCTCGTCGGCTCTCGTTGCTTTCCAGCGGGCGAAGTAACATACGTATCGAGGTGCTTATAGTGAGGGCCTGATCGCGAGTAAGAACAGTTCTTTTAAACTTCTTATCACCTCATGCAGTAAAACTAGAGATAGCTTTGGAGCAATTGATGGATAAGATTTGGCGCAGCAACGGGCGCAAGAATATCACAAGACGGCATCGGATGCAAGCTGTAGGTCACGCGAGCTAAAAATCAACAACAAAAACAGAAAAGGGGAGGGTTTGATTAACATGAGAGAATCCGACCAGCTAAGCTTAAGAACTTTGACCGCGGTGGAGACGCGAGTAGACGCCTGCAAATAACTAAACTCCCACAAGAATACTTAATTCTCTCGCGCGTTATCTAACTCATATCACACAGATCAAAAGCTGATGGTTTTACCTCTAAAAAAAATGTTAAGGAGGGTGCTATCTCCCAAGACGGAAAGAAAAATTAGACTAAGTGATACTTAGATATTTAAGTCCTTATCTCTCATTCCTATCTACGCACCTACGAGACGGCCTGTTATTAAATTCAAGGCCCACATCACCATATCATAGACAGCAGTAGAGATTACTGCAAACCTTCAATTACTCTTCGTTAATTTTCACTTTTATCATTATACTTAATTTACGCCAGGACCGCGGATAACAGCGGGTAAAAGCATTTTGTCACATTTTCAAGGTGGGGCTGGGGCGAGGAGGGGGGCCGTAACAAATACCTCTCTTGGCCAGCGGTGTCCCATATCTGAAGTTTGACCTTTCTGCCATCTAAAAATTAAAATTAACATTTAGTACAAGGTAATAGATTGTACTCTCATGTACAAGGCTAGTGCAACAACAAAAAGGAGAAAAATCATTCGAAACTCTTCAATAATTCTTTTGTAGCAAAAGAAATTCTAGTCCTCGTAGCAGCCATCGCACGTAATTTTTCCATCGAAAGCGTTGCGTGACGACACCTTCATAGGACACCCAATCACATACACTTCCGGCAGCAACCCTCGTGATCAAAAACGATATCTCACTTTCATTTTCTCAGACAGCAGTAAATATTTTTCTGTCTTTTGACTTAAGAACAATCACTAGTAATTAAAGAATTGACACATGATTGAAATAGGAAAAAACTCTCTAAGAAAGAATTAGCAATGCTAGTTTCACTTTTAACCACAAGGACGGCATTGCAAAAATAGTTACGCAACAATAATAAAATAAAATTGAGACGAAAAAAATAGATATAATTTTATACCAGGGCTCTTCTTTGATTCGCAAAGACTTATGAGTAAATATGATCGGTATCATGAAACTTTAAAAGCAAGACAGGTGTGACATGAAATGTTGTAACGTTCTAAAGGTTGAGTAACACTCAAGCGGCTTCTCTGTCATAATCAGAAATCACCTTCGTACCGGCGACGAGTGTACAACTCGTTTCCAACAGTTCTGCGTCAAAAATAGCTTGCGAAGAACGAAGTTCTCTCCCATACTTCTTAAATATTTTGTAATAATCATTGCACTTCATTGTACTCTCTAACAAACCATAAAAAATCGATTCGAACGACCTTAACTCGTGATGTCGCCATTAATATTGTACGGGTGCCCACATACTTACCGATTTCAATCGTCCTTATTTTGAAATCTATACCAATGGTCGTGATATATGAAGGAGTAAAGGTATTTTCTGTAAAACGTACAATTATGCAGGTCTTTCCGACAGAGCTGTCACCGACCAGCAGAAGCCTAAATAGATAATCGTAGTTCTTCGCCATTTTCTGGGAACTGGCATGTGACCGGCGTCGATTGCGTTACATAGTCGTTGTAAAATCACGTGAGTGGAAAATGTGTGTTCGTCAGGCTCTTCAAACGTGTAATGGCCAAAAATACATCAAATTCTTCTAAACTGTGATTCCAAACCAAGTGCTTAAATTTTCGTACATTATCTCCTCGAGAATATGTGTTGGTTGTGATCTTTCCAGGTTTTGAAGTTTTCTTAATTTTTTTCTTTCTAAGGGACCACTCGTTATCTACTGCCTGAGTTGGGGGGGATGGAGGATTTTGGGGGATCACGTGGTTCTCACAGGGATTGAAGAGGAATTAGTCGTCGTCAACAGAATACAAAGCGAGGACTATAGAAAACTGACTGCCAATGGGGGGTATAGAAAATTGACTGCCAATGGAGGGGGGGAGGGGTCATAAGAACATTACAGAACCTTATAGGGGAGGATCAGGTACGTTTTGTCTTGACACAACCAAAATTTTCAGGCGATAAATAATTACCGATCCTTAACGTAAGGAATCGTATCTGAGACAAAAAAAACTCGGTATCCGGTTAGATCGCTCCATGGTTAGATCGCTCCAAGTCAGATCGCTCCATACCGAAGTCAGATCGCTCCACTCGAAAGTTAGTTCGCTCCATCAAATAAGTTATTTCGCTCCATACATAAGTTGCTTCGCTCCATGTAGAAACCTAATACACTAACTTACTTCTGATCTACTTCTGATGATGTGTATTGCGTCTTGCGATCGGTCGAATTACCGATGTTGGAACAAGTGTTTCAGTGTGTAATGAACGTAGAAAACTAATAAACTAACTTACTTCTGATCTTTGTAGTTTATAGTTGATGATGTTGCTTGCGATCAAGTTGCTAAAATATAAAGTGATCGACGATTCGTTCACTTGAACCCACCAAAGCGAATTACCAATGATGAAATAAGTGTTTCAGTGTGTAATAAATGATCAAATTTCCCTTATCCTTCTGTCTTTTATCAACCTTCCACGTTAGTTTTCTTCATGGAGCGAAGTAACTTATGTATGGAGCGAAGTAACTTATTTGATGGAGCGAACTAACTTTCGAGTGGAGCGATCTGACTTCGGTATGGAGCGATCTGACTTGGAGCGATTTAACCATGGAGCGATCTAACCGTAAACCAAAAAACTCGAACAAAACTTCGGGGATGTGAAAGCCACCGTGAGGTGAGAAGTGCCCACCCCTTCGCTCTTCATTGGTTTCTAAAACTCAACTCTCAAGCGAACCGATTGTAGGACTAGAAAAAGTCTATACTGACTACGAGTTAAAATCTTCGCTGATTCGAGCACGCTATTCTCGCGCATGTACGAGTGTCAAGCTGCACAACGCCATTTTGAAATTTGTTAAGTGGAACTTGAAAAAATAAGGCTAAAGCTTTCAAGTCCTATTTCCCCATCCGCAAGGGATTAGGAGAGCATGACCTCTGAGATCAAGATTGGTCTGGTTAACTTCTGCAAATGATCAACTATGACGGTTTCCCTTACACTTTAACGCTCAATTAATAGTTGACTGCGACCTTCGACCTCGTCCCGAAGACGAGGCTGCGCCACATCGAGGCACTCTGACACTGACATTAGAGTACTCTACAAAAACGAGTATAACACAAATAACCTTATTTTTGCGTGCACATGCGTAAAGATATTTATGGACAGAGAAAGAGCGTGAGAGTCCTACCAAATCAGCATGTTACCTTTAGTTTACTTTATTTACAACAAGGAACATGGTACAGCAAACATGTCCAAGATGAACGTTGGCTACAAAAACCGGTTGTTTTCTAAGATTCCAACCTTGGTAACTAGTGGGAATGCCTATATTCCCCTCGTCGACGTCATTTCATATATATATTAATTCAACTTAAACTTCAAAAATCGTAAACATTTTCATTCTATCCTCATGCTCTGACGAATTGGCTAATTGAATAAGGCGAGCGAGGAGACACCTTCCTTGCGCATCTACACGTTCACACGTTCCTGCGCGCGGCTTCAACTCTCTCGTACTTGACTGCCAAGCTTATATCTGAAGGGGATGGGAGGTTAAAAGATGTACAAAGTCCTAATTAGCAAACATATCTTCTCGGAAAATAAGGTATTAAAATCTCGTTTTCTACAAAACGTTGCTCGCAAAATCTGATGGAAAAACTGTCGAAGATTCCTAAAGGCTAAATACTTCCATATTTTTTTTTTAAAATCTCCTATTTTCGGAAGGCTTCTTTTATACCAACAAGTTTTCGGAAGACTTATTGGAAGCAAGAGATTAGAATCTCTTCCCTAAAAGTGACTCTTTTTCTCCTCCAGTTCTGGTGCTGTTATATCCCGTGTCTAACTCACAAATGTTCGTTTTGCGACCATCCTCAACTTTTTCTTGAGCGCCGTTGTTGTTCAAGATGTCTTGAATTAACTGCTTTAGAGCTTCGTCAATCTCTGAGCTTTGCAGATCGTTGATTTCCACATATCTCATACCAAACTCTCTGGCGAAAGCCTCGCCTTCTTTTTCTGTAATGACGCGGTTTCTCTCCTGACAATGGCACTTATTAGCGACCAACATCTTTTGAGAGCCTCGTTCGCTGGCGTGTTCTTCAATGATAAGAAGCCACTCCAGGATGTTGTCATAGGAACTCTTATCGGTGACGTCAAAAGCAACGATGAAACCTTGGGTACCGTGATAGTAGCTGGGGGTGATGGCCTGGGTACTAAAAAAATTGGATTTCAGTACAAAGCAACTGAAACACAGTTCTTACTGTTATCAGTTAACTGAGGCGCAGAAAAAGTTTGGTGGCGTGGTTTTGACCATAAAATAATGGTATTATCACGGGCAACCTTCCTCGTCTCCAATGGTAATCAACTACCCGCTTATCAAATGAAGTCAGGGGCGACACGTTTCCATTGGAAACGGTGTCAGTTGCCCGTGACAACAACACAATTTTTACGTCAAAACGTGGTCGCTACAATGTAGGGTAGGGATTGTGATTTTTCTTTTTACTACACTCTCATACGGGAGATTGTGGTTTCAAAAGGCGGTGACAAGGATCTAGTGAAACAAACATGCCTGAGATTTTGTTTTCAGGCGCCGACCACGCACTTATCCAATCTTGAAAGAATCTGTTCTGCAAAATATTTCTGCCCAAGTCACCAGTCTTCTCTTCGTTCCTAAACGTCTACACTTCTGCGTTATTTGATTTGACGACGCATGCATACCTTTTAAAGTATTTTCTCCCATCATCCACACCAAAACGCCCCAAACGCTGTAAGAGGAGACAATACGTGATGCATTTCTCCTCACCTCCGATTTCACTTGTCCACAAAAGGAACAGGAAATTTTGAGAACAATGCATTTTCAGAAAAATCCATTTATGAAAACGTTTTAAGATTCTCCGTTTTAACCGGCGGATTGGGGCTTTTAAGAGAGGATGACAGGCAAAACTGCATTTAAAAAAATTTCGTTTCTCAACGGAAATGCGTCGGTTAAGGTGTAGCCGCGGAAGGACTTCCGCGTTCTGTACGACAATCATCTCGTTTTACAATTAAAAAAAAAAAAACTCACGTCTTTCAGAACAGAAAAGATAACGGAACCTTTCAACCGCAATTTCAAACTTTCTGTAACACTAATTAGGATCCTTGCACGAATTTCTACTAAATTACATGGGCTTGAGTGCAGCTGTTAACGAGAACTCGATATGGCGTGACCATTCTTATCGCGTGACTCAAGTACCAAGTAGAGCAAAATAACATGTTTGGCTCCACAATTTTTACCTTTCCTGTCCTGCAATATTCCATATCTGTAATTTTACTCGCTTCCCATCTGAAGTTTGAAAGCAAAATAAATTCAACAAGGTCAAAAGAGCTAGACATTAGTGGGAGAGCTTGTCGTTCTTTGATCGAGTAGTGCCGTCGAGGCACGTAAAATATTTGCCCTCTCAATGTTTCAAATTAGGAAGTATCAAGCGAGGAAACGCATTCCTATTTCAACGATAACAGTTTCAGATCATTTCTTAATTATAAAAGTAGTTTGGGAAAAAAAAATTGACTTATCCGTATGAGTGAGTCAATAAAAACATCTGTCAGTTCATGGGAAAAAAACACGAATGAAAATCATCTCAGAGGAATTGTGAACTTCAAGAGAATGATATTGACAGCGCTTTCAACTAGTTCCATTGCGATTTCTACAAACACAAAGCAAATATCGTCCTAAAACGAACTTCGAGTCGTCGATAGATAACACAGAACTATAAATAGTCGCCGAGTTGTATCGTTAAATCCCTTACGCCTGGCGGTTCAGTGCAATACACCGTGCGCTTAAAGATCGAGCGAAATCCAGGCGGGAGGAGAGATTCATGTACCGTAAAAGTACTCACCAAAAGAATTCTACTCACCGATTTCTAACTGTCTTTTGAGAAAATTCACTCCCATAGCCGACAAAACTGAGGCATCGCCTGCAGGTGGATGAAAGATGGCACATTTGCCGACGTCGGGATCGCCAACGAGGAGGATTTTAAACAACAAGTGATAACTCAACGCCATATTAAATTGCTGGCCTTCGTTATCTTTCAATCCGTGGAGGGTTGGGTTAATCCGAGTCAGTGTGTTCGTCACGGAACGAGCACTTTACATAAATTTCAGACATGAAAGAATGAAGCGGTTTCGATGTTTTGTCCACACTAATTTCGTCCACCTGTCAGATTAATTCGGAAATTCGTGACTTATATGCGGATGTCTTCTTTTAAACAATCTTATAAATATCAGAATATTATGGTAGAATTCACATCGTTTGACACATGACCCTTCGATTTATTAACAATACCGAATTTTTAATTTAGAAACGATAGTCTCGAGGGAGCAAGGGTATATTTTTTTCAAGTACAGAATAAACCCAACAACAATACACAAACAAAGTACGCAAGTGAAAAATAGCACCCGCCGGCTCGCAAACGGCGAACGCGAGAGCGACATCGCCACACGCTGATGCGAGATTGGTTCATTTTAATAAAACTTGTGCGTAATTGTAACCATGACAAAATTCTCGACATTGAAGTCAGTGTCGAATAACAAAACTGTTCATTGCCAAGCTACGCATGTAACTTCGTTCCTGGAGAAAGAAATGTTTTAGCGGGGCTTTCTGATTATTATTGCATTTCTACAATCTTCCTTCCCCTTCGATATTTTGAAACGGTAAATTGAAATAATGATTGATGTATTGTCAAACAGATTGCTTCCCCATTGAGCCGCCAATCGACCTCGTTTATCAAGTGATTAATTGGCTAAGTTGCTCAAGAGGCGCGTCAAATTTTTACTTGTAACACAATCTGCGTGACGAGCCAGAGATCGAGCTTCGTTGGAAACACGTTTCTTCAGCCGCTTTTTGTGACATAAGACTACAGAAGAAACGAGGACTCGACCAACACGAATGAAATCGTAAGCGCGTTTTAAATTTTTCTCTGTTCACAGAATTTACAGAACCACCGAGGAAAATAAATAAAACTAAAATTTGAAAACATTTGGTTTTGTTTTCTCCTGTCTCCTCTCTGATCCAAGACTCAAAAAATTTGCTCTTTCGTCATATTCGATAACTTCAAACAAAATGAATACGATTTAACGATCGAAGACAAGCGGAAGGGGGTACATTTTAACGCTTATTTCCCCTTTCTTCAATTCTGCTCCTCGATCCAATGACCACTTATTAGTCTAATTAACTAAAGAGGTTTATGCCTCTTGATCATAAAAGAAATTCATTATCGTACACAAAGTTCCGATTAACTCTCCGAGCAGTTGACGAATCTCTTCGGAGACCTTTGCGTTCGGCGACCTCTCATCGAGACGAGATTTCAGCTTATCAAAAAGCCCTGTTACCCGCGTGAAACATGGCACACCCTCTCTGATAAGTATCTGCACTGTGCGGTCAAACTCACTGCTTGGTATCATGGCTGTCTTAATGTTGGCACAAATCTCCTTGGTGCTTCTCATGTGAGGCACGCCTTGACTAAATCGCACCACTTTTTTAAAGTCCTCGTCCCATTTCAGGATAACATCCAGGATGAAGTGTAGATCTTCTAGTTGCTGTTGCATCGTGTCATACTGTTTATCCAGCTCTCTCATTTGAGCTTTGAACAGCTTTGTGCTCTTGTTGATGGAAGTAATTGATAACTTCTCGGTGCGTGTCGTGAGTTCTTGGATTCCATCGCTTGCGACGTTAGTCATGTCTCTAAATGTACAGAAATAAAGTAACCATTTGGTTTTTTTCTGCAAACGACGTTCTTGGTGCCCATGTATTTACACAGTGACAGGGGTTTCGATAGAAAAGCCGTTTAGGGGCGTTCTATCGCCGCCTATAAAACCTCTCACCGCCGTATGTTTGATCTACGAGCAGGTTAGCGTGTTTTGGTTTCGCTCTACCGACCCTTCTTCGGGCAAAACCGGCAATTAAACAATTGGCACGGCGCCGCGGCAGCCGCTTATAGTAAATATTTTTGAAAATCCTGGACAGCAATTTTAAAAAAAATGGTTAACTGTAGGAATCTTCATTCTATTTAAATCTATTTTCATGGAAAGGGAAACACCTTAAAAGAAATAAAAAAAATAACGATATGTTTTGAAAGAAATTATTTGCTTATATTTGAGGAAGTCTGGAGATAAAAATTTGCATAGAAGAAAAGTTATTATTTTTTTTTGCGCTTGTGAATGAATTAAAACAAATATAATCCTTGTGAAACGGCGAAATGTGCACACGATAGGTAATAAAACATGCTTTCAGGGAAGGATCATGTCAAAAGACCATTAAAAAACCTTCCTTGAAGAACCAAACGCATATGAAATATGCTCTCGAGTGGTATCGAAAGAGGGTAAGATTTATACGACCTTAACCCTATGTAAAAATGTGTTATTCTTATCATCTGTCAATGTACGCTTAATCGAAGCACGTACATTATTTCATGAAAATCTTCTAAAAACATTACATCTGCTGGCTTACCTCGCCTGTGAAGGAAAAGCAAAGCTTTCTTGATCCTCGAAAAAGGGAGTAGAGCAAAATGTTAAAATCTTTCAGGAAATCGCATACAAAAATTATTGATTTATCCCCAAGCAACTGACCCACCCAAGAAGTACAAGCTTATACGCATGACCACGTGTTATACAATCCCAGTGATTCTATTGGTTGAAAATTGCGTAATCTTTGACATGATTGGACGAAGGGTGAACAGGTGTGTTTAGATCCGTCTTCAGAATATCAGAATATTTTCTTTCTGTGATTCGATAATCAGACATTGTTTGAAGCGAACAGGTAAAGAAAATGTATGGCTGAAAATGCATCTACGGACTCAACGAAATCAAGTTTATCTTTGAATTTCACATTGGTTTTTTTTTCTATAAGAAAGCTCTCAATAATGAGCCCAAACCATTCTCTAATACGACAGCAACTTCCAAATTTCAGATACGTTTTAAAGTATAGCGTTAAAAGGTTTCAAAACGCAACACCAAACAGTTTCTCTACTGTGGCAAATTTTTATTTGCATTCAAAATTACTAGAATATGCAAGTGTAACCACTTTTTATTGAAATTAGGCTACTTTAGGTAAATTTTTCAGAAATTCCCCTTTGTGCGATTAAAAAAAATCACCAATCATACTATGATTTTCCCTTTACCCTGATAATTATGAAAAAGTAAAGGCACTCTTGAATAAACGACCAAAATCTGAAATAAATACTTCAATATTAGCAGATAATCTGAGGAAAGGTAGACCTTTAGTTTCTTTATCTTCCGTTATTTTGTCATCAACAAATTTTCAGCTTTAAGTTCCGCTTTCCTATCATTTCCACGAGGTTTTTAAACTAGATGTATTTCGAGATACTTTTTTAGTTTTAAAGTTACAAAGTTTAACTTAGGAGTAAAACAACAATACAATTTAAAAGCCAAATTGTTTGAGGGAATAAAAGATAAATGATGTTTGATAACAAACACAGCGTGAATAAAACTTTTAATCATGTGCAGAATAAAAATCTTCCATTTTTTAAGCCAATTCATGTCATTTTCTGAGTAGCTCTCAGTTCAATACTCGTTGCATGTAGAAAACTTTAAAACAGAGATATTTATCCCCTTCAGGAAAATTGTTTTCTACTCTATAATTCTCGTTAAGAGAAGATGCGTTCTTCATTCGTCTGCAGTAAATAAAAATATGAACGAACAAAAGGCGACTGAGACACCATTTACTCAGAAGACAGTTTCAGAATCTGATATTTTTATTCATTCAAGGTGTACGACATCCAGGCTTGAAGTGTAGCACATTCTTTCCGTGCATTCGAAGATTTCTTTCTTTTATTTGAATAAATCGGTAACAGCTTCTTTGTATTTACCTGGCGTTCAATGGTCTTATACCTTGACAACACATGTACAAGTACATCCTGCATAAAGCTGTTTGTAAAACAAATTCTAAGACCAAAACATTTGCATACAAAAATAAAGTCTGATGAAACTGCAATTGAAGCTTCTAAATTATATTGATTTTTCTTTCCTCAGTAAACGTCAAACATTCTTGTCGTAATTTTTTTTCATATTCATTGTTCAAAATAAATTTCTAACATAGTGTCAGTGATGCCTGTAAGACGTCCAAGAATTTGCCGAATTTCTTCAATAAATGACGCTTTGTAGGCTGCATCATCCCTGATGATCTTCGAAACTTGCTTTTTCAACAGCTCTAAAGCTTCATAAACCTGCTGAAAACATGGCACATCTGCCGTGATCAAATTCTGCATTCTGAAATAAAAATCTCCATGAATATCATTCAACAGGTTTTCAATCGACGCGCAAATTTCTTTGACATTTCTCACGAAGGGAACGCCTTGAGTATTTCTTTCAATGGTGTCGAAGCTCTCAGCCCAGCCTTTAATATTTTCGTTTATGTATTCAAGATCTTTTCGTTGTTGAAGTAAGGTCTTCTGAAGTTTTTCCAAGTCGGAAATTTCCTTCTGAAGATCTTTCTTGTGATTTATCACCCGTTTCAACGAAACACTCTTTCCGCTGGTCGAAGTGGCTCCATTGACATAAATTGGTGTCTCCATTTTAGCTGCGCAAATAACGAAAGTTCAAACAAATATTAAACTTGGTCAAATTCAAAACAGAAAAAATAATCAAATTAAAAAGAAAGTTTACACCACCTATCGTTGATTCCGCGAAAAGTTTCCCAACAAATACATTATGCCTTTTTTAAAATAAAAGGTGCTCAAAGTGATTACAAGCATACTTGATACGAAAAAAACACAATTTTTATGAATATACTTGCATTTGTAAAATTTTCCTCCTAGGTAAAAATGTGGAGAAATGATAAGCTAAATTGACTTGTAAACTAAAGCTCTTTTTACACCTTCCCGTGAAAATCCATGAGCTAGTTTAGTTAGATTTCATTTTTGAATGTTTAAATACCAAACTACTGCAATTCCGCCAAATATTTCCTTCCTAACCTTCTGAAATCACTAACAGAGGACGAAATCTCTGACAGAGCCTGATTTTACAATTCCGATTCTACACGTAATAAAAATATGAAAACTACAATTTTCCAGAATGATAGCTGGCATTTTAAAATTTTTCGTTTACGAACCAACATAAGCACTATTTGCATATTCTGACAATAGAGGACAGATAAGTAATGAAGTCAAGGAAAATAATTTTGACACTCGTTAGACATAGATTCGAATTTTACCGAAGAATATTCAGTCATCGGTAAAAACTATCCCTTGAATGTTTAACCAAGAATTGAAAAATAAACCATTTATACTATTGACTTAATTTTTGCTATGGTATTTTTTAACATTTTTCTTCACGATGCGGGAGACATGGCTTGATCAGTAAAGTAACACCGGTATCGAAAAACCACGAACCTGCCTTTAAAACCAAACATACGTACAAACCACTTCAGCTAAAATCTGTCGTTAGAGTCAAGAAGAGATTTCCTGACAGCAATTTACTGAAACGCTTACCGCTTAGATATCGAAAGTTTTCTTTCTCCCAGGGACCGACCCACAAAAACAAAGCGATTTCACCGTTTCTTGTTGTGTTGGATTTAGTTTGGGCGCTGTCAGACGCTAATAAACCCCTGAGGCGACAGAATGCTAAAATAGTAAATGGCTAAGGCAAATGCTTTGAAATTGTTACGCCCAAATTGTCATTAAGCGAAAGCGCGGGGAATTTTGATTGGTTGTCGTAAGCAGCTGCATGAAGTAAATGCCTTATTTCACTCTTTTTATTGCACTCGTGGACTTTTGTCTAGAATCACTGATCAATATTTTCCTTTTCATGTTGACGATTTTATCTCAACTTTTCCTCAAGCAGGCGAGCATAATTTTAGAATGCATTCATGTTCAACGTCGAACTGTTTCAATCATAAATTCGGATTACTTTCACTGTTTGATATAGCTTCCTCAGAGAGGTCATTAAATCCTCTATGAAATATTAATTTCCCGTCAAACGAAATAGATTCAGACGAAACCCAAATACATTTTCTTTACCACAATGTTCAAAAAATCCTTTATCGATGCCAAATGAACATGAAACTGAAGTTTCATTCAATATATACACCCTTCTGTTTTTAAAACAGCTCAGAACATATTTTTATATTCAGAAACATCCTTACAGCTATTATACTACATAAGCCCTTCAAAGCTTTCAAATCCTTTCCATTATTGGAGTGTTGTATCTGAAAGACTTTCTCCAGCTGCTTATAGTTTGTCTCCGCATAATCTTCTCTGTCATTGGTTGCTTGGACGGAAACTAATTTAAGACAACATTTTGGGAGTGGAGCTTGCGACTGAAGTGTGTGAAAATGAGGACTTGATGAATGACCTGTGATCTTTATAGAACCTTTTCAGTTCAGTGCTGTTAAATTTCTATTTTCAGACTCCATCAGAAAAAAATATCCGGCTCAAAGTCCAAATTTCGAAGGCAGCCGTAGGACTGAATCTCAGAGGTACAAGACGAAGGTAATTGATGTAATGTCAGTTTTATTACATGAGCGAATGGTTTGTGGAGAATAAATATTTCTACATGATCTTAGACCGTATTCATGTCCTATGTTTATGACGAAAGAAAAAATGATGAGCGGAAATCGCGAGAAGTTATATTCTCAAGTTCAGTACAAAACTGAAAACCAAAAGGAAAAATTTTGAGCGAAAATCGTGAGGAATTATCTTCTCAAGTTCAATACAAAACTGCAAACCATCAACCTTGATGTTGTTTTGTCGAGAATAGAGCCGATTTTTAATTCTTTTTTAGTGTTGTTAATATTTTCGTACGATAAGACATGTGAAGGTGATAATCCATGTGGTCTACTCCCTTTAGACGGTTAAAGGACTTTAAAATCGACTGAAAATGAGCGGTACAGTGGCTGTAGAATTATCAGGCAGTTCTTTGCACACAAGACAATTACGTACAACCGGGGATGGCCTGGAGACTAGCTACGCCCTGTCAATGAAAATGATCTGCACCAACAAACAGCATCTGCAGAAGACCGTGACAAGATTGGAAAAGATGCAGAGTCCCATGAAAAAACAACGTGATGATCTTCTGTTCTTGATATCAACAATGGAAGAATGGATCAGAATCTTACATGAATCGGAACGGGGACATAACGGGGTCCCCGTTCAGCGATCGGTGAAGGAAGGTTGCGGTGATATCACGCCCAGTTTGAACAGCAATAACAGCGAATTGAATCAAACTGTACAGCGGCTCAGCAAAGCCAGCGTGCCGCGCATTGCGCACGTGCAGAAATGCTTGAAGGATCTGAAAAAGGAAATTCGTGACGTGTTCGACAACGAGAACACTTATAATGGCAAGTTTGTCGAAGATGTGAGAGAAAAAATGGGAAACATCATTGGTACAGCCAATGCATTGTTAGCGCTGTACTACTCATAAACTAAAATGAAAGGCAAACAACAAAAAATAGAATCCGCGTTCTAATAAACGTTAACTTAGAGATATCACGTGTTCAAATAAGACAGAAAACCCTACAATAAAGAAGAGATATGCGAGGTATCATTTATTTGTATTTCTTGTTGTTGTTATTGTTTTTGTTTGCTTGCTATGCAAACAGCGATTTACAATGGACAATGGAAACTAACCAACATAATACCATGTCTACCACCGGTCTGGTAGCAGAGTCTGTTTCCCTCACAGGTTCCGCTTTGGCGCAGTTCTGCCGGTCTACAGCAGGTTATGCAAAATATGATGGGGAGAAATTCTGGATCAAGCCACTGCGTACCTACCCCTCCCCTAATCCAACAACAGTCAGCTGATTAAAAAGTTTAGGTGCTATGATAGGGAGGGGTAGGTGGGCAGTTGCTCAGAAGCTGACATCGATCTGAAATTATTTTGCATTTTCCAGAAAAAAAAATGTCATCATGTTCGTGTATGCAGAAAAAGCCAAAATATCGTACAACAGCTTCGCTCAAATCCAAAACTTTATTCAATAACACCACACTAAGTTTGAAAGCACAACAGCTAAAGTCTCGCTAGTCCATCACCATGTTTTCACTCCTGACTGTAAAATTCTTGCTGAAGTAAAGAGAGTTGACAAGTCCTTACAAGTTTACTTTATTTTGCTTCAGAAAAGCTCTTATAAATAACACTGAAATCTAAGAAAAACTAACTCATCCGGTATTTCAACTTTGATCCTAATTTAAATCAAACAATTTCCGACACATTTTAGTTTTGTAATTTACTGTTAGCTTTGTACTAGATGCTGAGATGCGGCTGAAAAAATGTTCTCCGTTTAGCCCAGATTAGAACTCTTCCAGATACACTTTCAAAACTTTCAGTACAAGACCGATACTTAACTGATCAAAACTTCAAAGCCCTCCGCGTGGTTCATGTCTGTTCACAGGACGGCTGTTCAGTCGCACATGCTTCGCATGTTCCCTCCTATCCCGGTGAGATTTCTCTTCATCAAAATCTCCTGATCCCCAGTCCTTATCTCGTCCACCTCTGTGGTCCCGGTACCTATTCTCCATCTCCCTGTGTGTCCCTGCCCCTTCACCATTAACCCTCAGCCTGTCCCTCTCTCGTAAGGCCCCTGTGTCTCTCATAAAAGGTGCAGCGGCTTCAGCATGGCGGCTGTGGTGAGAGGGTCTCGCTCTGGGTTCTAAATACATCGTCAAAGGAATTAGAACTGTTGGTGCAGAATCCCGTCACAGGTTTTAATATTTAGCTCTTCACCCACAAACATCAGTATGCCTATGCTCCATACTGTTCTCTAAACATTTCCTAGGGTGCTGACGAGGAGAATTTGCTTAGCAATCGAGAGCTCATCTGGCTGGTGATCATTTCCTTTATTCTCATGACCTTAATGTGTGGTCTGAGAGTGATCTTGTAAGGAGAAATTAGATGCTTATCATTCTTAGGGATACAAGGGTTAAATTTCGTTCAATACAAACCTTCCAATCCTCTGAGTGTGGTTCTCTGTCCGTCTCTCAAAGAATGGGAGGGCAGCTTGGTTCGTTGCTTCCATTCCTGGTCAAAAGCTGCAGCATCACCTATGCCACAAACAACATTCATTAGATTATTTCATAGATATTTATTGATTTATAGACTGGTAAGAATGCTATAACAGATTAACATTATAACAGCCAATCCTACTGCAGGGAATGGTGACTTATCATAGGATGCTTGCACATAATGTTCATGACCCAAATCATGTTCATCAATCCTTTAACTCCCAAGATCTGATTGTTAATTCTCCCCTCTAGCTGCAACACATTTCCTTGTAAATTAGTTACAAGAATTTGGTGTTAGATCAAGATAACTTCTACCTGATTAGTTTAAGTATTCTCATTACCCATTTGCTCAATAATGTATGGATATTACAGGGAGAAGTTACATGTTAATCTCATGAAGTGAAGTGATCATGCTTAACCCTTTAACTCCCATATGTACTGAGACATAATTTCTCCTTAAGCTATCAATACAATATCAGGCAGACAAGTGATGAGAATAAAGAAAAATAACAGTTAGAGGATTATTAGTTGATCCAATACCAAATTCTCAAAACAAACATCACAAGAAATGTATGGCAGACAGTAAGGAGAATTATAAATGAGATCTTAGGAGTTAAAGGCTTAAGAGGTTAAAAACAATAAGAAACATGCAATCGCTCATTTGAGTGTTGATATAATGTTGATGAAAAGGTACCAGTAGTTGCTGATGAGGTGGACAATTAAGAGAAGAGGTTACAAACTGAGGTTTAAAGTAAACAATTTGTTCCTTCATAAAAAATATTTTTGTGAGAAAAAAAATAACATGACCAAACTCACTTTCGTCCAGATTGATAAAGTTCTGCTTTCTGTCTTCATCACCTGTTCTCCTGTTCAATGATCGCTCAATGACATGAGAACGATCTCCTGTAAATAGGTAAGAGAAATGATTAACATGTAACATGTAATACTCATTTCTCAGTTTGGATTTAGGGACCAAGTACAAAACACTTTGGCCATAAAATGAGGTTCCAAAACTAACAGTATGCGCTGGAATAACCAGGTTAGTAAGATATTCATTATATCTCTGGGTCCAAATAGAGGGGGGAGATTTCAATTCAAACAAACTTTTAAATTTAGTTTATGTACAGTGAAATTGACCAATCATAGCTTAGGTACAAATTGAGAGATACAAAAACACTACATTTTCCTCAGAGAAATTTTCCCACATTGATAGCTACACCTATTTCCTCCTTGCTACATCTAAATAGAGTTTGTGTTCATAAAATATAAACATGTCTACAATACTAATTGTAAAAAAGGCTTGGTGTAGTTACCCAGATGATGACCAATTGCCATGCGATGCAATCCTGATTCAGAATCTCGAAGTGTGTGCTGAGTCTCTTTTACCTTCACAAAGCAGAAAACAAAAATATTTCTCAGACAAATTGAGATGAAGAAATCGTTGAATGTTCATCATTCACTCAGAAAACCATGAACTCCAGAAATATTTATAGAATGTTATTGTTTTAATGAAGAGAAACTATTAGGTGTGAGAATACTAAACAATAAACATTCATAGTAATAACTTTGAGGTTTTGAAGTTTGTTCACATCTGAGCTTCCTAGTGATTGTTCAGTACAAATTTAACTCTACAGAAAATTGAGGCATTCAATTTTCAGATTTTCTCTGTCCTACAATGATATTTAAACAACAAATAAAACAATCAATAAAAAAAGGATTTTTTTTTTGTCAGGCAACATTTCTACTTGCTGAAGTGATGATACATTAGTGAGGAGGTCATTGGGGGGATCTGAACACAGTGATACTGCAAAAAAATTTGGCAACTATCACAATATTACAAAGTGCTGAAACACCTATTCTGTATGTTATGTTAAAAGCAAATAACTTGGAAATGAGAATGGAGAATTTGTTACTGAAAGTTAGTTGTAATAGTCAATCTCAGCCTGTTCAAAAACAAAAGGAAACTGTGGAAGGCTCAAAAAAGGGTGAAGGATAAGGAGAAAAATTTTTAATATAGTCCAAAAGGCTGAAAAACTGCATCCCACAGGTTTGGAGAATACCACAATACTGCAAAACTGCAATTGAGATTGAACTTACCAAAATACTGCAAGAAAAATTGTCCAATACTGCAAACACCAACGCCCCCCACACAAATTATCTTCACAATGTCAGAGAGACAAGCGTAGCCAAAACAAAAAAAGGTTTAGGTAGAAACATTAGTTACAAGAATTAGCTTCAATTTCAAGGGCTTTACTTCTATTACATGACACAACTCTACCTACCCCTCCAGGAGCTCTCTTAGTGGACTTGGTCGCTTGGAAGACTTTAGGTTCCCCTCGTCCATCATTAGAATATGACATAACACTTGAGGATGAGTAGCTGTATGTGTTTGGGTTACTAGCCATTTGTTCCTGACAAAATCACACAAACACCAAAAAGACATTTGTAAAAAAATTGGCACTATGTGGACTACCATCAAGAAATAACAATTAAATTTTTTTCTGACCCATCTCAGAGAATGGAAATCTTACACCCTCAAATCTGGTTGGCTAATTAATTGCTTGTAGTTGGTTCAGCTTCTTTTTCTGCACTATTTGTGGCAAAGAATGACAGTGACAAATATTTTAAATTGGGAGATCTGTATACTTTGGAAAAATTTGAAGAACAAATTGTCAAGACAGAAGAAAAAGCATAACAAAAATCTTTAGGAAAAGAAAATTCACAGGTAAGACAAGTAAAAATTGTGGCTGATTTGATAACTTCACTTACAAAATTCCTCTGCATGTTAGCCATCATGGTGTTCATGCTTGCAAACATGTCACCAAACATGCCGCCGCCAAACATATCTCTTGTGGCCACCTGCTGATTTCTTAGACTTGACCTGTGATGTTGCCCTCCAACACCAGGGGCAGGAAGAGCAGAAGGGAGGCCAGAGCGTTGATGAAACCTCAAAAATGGGTCATTGAATCCACCCATGAGAGTTGACATTCTCTGGTGGTGTTCCCTGAAAGAAATGGTACAGTTTTATGCACATGATGCAAAGCCTTCACCATTAACAATGTAAGGTTGTTCGTCAATTTTTTCTTGTTAATAAAGGTCTATTGTGTTTATATAATAAATAAAATAATATGTGGTTGTTTGAAGATATGGAATTTCTCTTCTTGTATTGGACTTGATATTTCACTTTTTCACTGTGCCCACTCATTGGATTTTGAGTTGAACACTGCAAAAGAAATTCTGTATCTACCCCTGCCCAGGTATCATTCCCTACAATCTTGCATAGGCCAAAAACTGATAAGTCATCCCACCCCTGATCCAAACCCACAATAAAAACTGTTGCTCACAAATCTTCTCTAACACCACAACTGTCCATAACAACAACAACAACAACAACAACAACAAAAGCTTTCTATATAGCTCTCTCAACATGGCTCAGTAGAGCTTTTCCAAACAAGTTCTCTTTGCCTACCGACAACAACCACTACTTCTTGATGACTGAATTCTCCTATACATTTATTGAGTATTCTTAAACAATTCAGACCTTTTAACTCTCAAGAACTGATTGTTATTTCTCCCCTCTAGCTGCTACACATTTCCGTGTGAATTAGTGAAAAGAATTTGGTGTTGGATCAAAATGACAAATTCTACCTGAAAACTTTGATTATTCTCATTACCTGTTTTCTAGATATCACATGGATATTATAATGAGAAAATACATGTTAATCTCTTCTGGGAGTTCAAGGGCTAAGCATTCTAGAAACTTCTGCAACTCCTTGCTTAAATCACTCTCAATAAAAGAAGGAAGTCAGCTTCACCCTTAAACCCTATCAGTGACTAATTCAAGACTTCTTCCAACAATACCACCAAATTACTCAACAAGCAGGTGATGAGAATATCACACTAGTTACCAAGAGAGCATTATCTTGATGTACCAACAAATTCTCGGAAATCTTTCCCACTGAATGCAAAGGAGCTAAATGGGAGAACTACATGAACTAAATATTGGGACCAATGAAACTGTATGCAAACGAAAATCTTCTCTACAGCAGATTTGTGCAGGAGTACCATTGACAAGCTTTTCAATTGTTCCAGCATTTTTGACCTGGGTTATTAAACTTTTATAAGCCATCAAAGGTATTTAAAGTGATTTCTAAGAAATAAAAGTTGTTGAACTATTTTTTGGAAACTATTCCCAATCCCTGTTTTGAGAACAACAATAAATAAACCAGCTCACCGTTTTTCCTTCAGAAATATGATGAGCCAAACTTAACCAATTTTTGCCGGTACTGGTACTAATTATGCATGTCATTTCATTGGTTCACAATACATTTTGCAATAGTTGGAACTAAGACTTTTCAATCAAAAGTAACACTTGAAAAAATACTTGATAGGTAGAAAGTCTTGAATGTATGGAACAGTGTAATGTATACTAATATAATAAATGTAATGTATTCTATAATAATAATTGTTCTTGCTGTATCTTGTATTTTCTATTTACATCTTAAATTATATTACAGTATTAGTTTTATATGAGTCATACCCAATAAACCTGTTAAAACAAGAAATAAATTTATGAAAAAATTCATGAAATTTTTTTTGACATCTACTAAAAATTGTATAACTTTCAAAGTAGTAATTTGCATTCTTGAAAATAGGCTTCGTGCACTTTTCCAATTTATTTTTTCAAGTTTCTAATTTAAGGGGATATTTGTGCACCAAGACAATTTACACAATAAAAAATATTGATCCCCCAGCTAATTCAAAAGCAAAACACAATCATGCCTGTTAACCTTGTCCACTGATTAAAAAAATTTCTAGGAATGCAAGCATGCTTATTTTCCTCACTTCATGATGTTATGCACAGTACAGGATGCACAGTACTGAGGTATCACCTTGAGTGCGTTTCCCATAAACACTAAAAGTGATTATTGTAAGGTGTACACCAAGTATTTCAGTTTCACTTGTACAGCCATGCGAAAAGCGAATCTGACAAAAGAATATTTTACTGAAGACTTGACGACATGTTAAAAATTAAACTTTTTTATTCTGAAAATATACAATATATTTAGAGTAACCCAGAATCGAGTCGTTTTGTTTCCGAGTAAACCAAGGATTAGGCCAAAACGAGTCCATTACATCGATTTTTTTCTTTTGTTTTTTTTCATCCTGATAATGGCCTTACATCGTAAGCCCCCTTTAGCTATAACAATCTGCGTTAAGATAACTTGATTGTGTTGATAAAAAAGTTATACGCGCAAATTTACCCACCGCTCTACGTAAACAAACATGAGTCATCTAAATGGGCAAAGATTCTTATTTCTCGCGCACGACGAAAGGATTACGACTGTGATGCCTTAACTAGTCTATGCTGTACTTACCTGAAGAACGGATCGTCCTCAAAATCAGCAAAAGCACCCCGAAACATGGCCACGAAGGGATATTCGCTTACGCAGAAGCGGCTCAAATCCCAGTTACACCTCGGTCTGATGAACGCTACGCTTGACAAATTTTATCATATCACTCGTTTCCGCGCATGTGCCCACGCATCCAGAAGTTGGCGCGGTTACACAGTCTTTTGTTTCCAGTTCCTCGCAAATTAACCCAAATACGAAACTGAATACTGGCGTGCATTGAAAACTCGAACCGCGTCAGTTATCGAATCAAAAGAGGACAGACCAGTGTTTGGTGATCTTGTTTTATTCCTTATTTCAATAATTTAAAATATACCTTCAAGATCGACCAGCTCAGTTCTATTTAAAACGACATAGTTACTAGGAACTGAGCCCTGCTTTACACATCTACACTTAAAATTAGTTTCATTTAAAATTGCCACTCATCAATCCAGAAAAATTTGAACAAGCTTTGCACTTGCTCGTTTGCAGAGAAAATAATCCTTTGGGGCAACATTAAAATTTTTAAAGCTTGCCAATCCGGTTTCATGAGTTCTCGATTTGTGTACTTCAAAATAATATTTTTTGGGGGGAAGGCTGCTGTGCAGGATTCAATCTTTTTCTGAAGGGTTGTGTTAGTAATTTATGGTAGTCAACCCTTTAACCCCATAGAGTGACCAGCATTTAGTTCTTCTTATATTATCACCTCTGAATCAAACATTAAGGCTACAAGAATTAAGGAAATGATCAGAAACGAAAGAAGCTCTTGATTTTTAACCAAATTCTCCTTTTCAACTTCTAAAGAAATGTATAGAGAGCAGTATGGAGAATATGCATACTGATTTTAGGGTGTAAAGGGTTAACCACTGAACACTTTATAAATAACCGATTCATAAGACAAACCTCCTAAGAGAAAAAATAAAAAATGTAAAAAACCAAAAAACCAAAAAAAACAATCAAAGAACAACGATAAAAAAACATCACACACTGAGATAAGCATCCATAAAGACAAATATACATATAAAACACAGAGGAAAACAAAAGAGGACACATTGTTATTCATGCTGCAATACTATTCTACTCTCCAGTCAAGTATGGGAGGACAGAAATCTAACACAAACAGGAATCTAGCTATTATTTTAACGTCTACAAGAAACATATCGTTATAACTTCCACCTAACTCTCGCAAGGTATACTTTTATAAACAATTACACTCTTCAAGGAAGACACTGTTGCTAGGGGGTTTCAATGACAGCCGGTTACCGGCGGTCTGCCGCTGACCATAAGACCCCCTGTTGCCGCCTATTTCACCAGCGGGAAGGCTGTCATGACAAGGTTTTGCCTTACGCCCTCTTCGACAGGCACAGCCGATTATCACATCACCGGCAACCGCTTATTGACAACGTTGTGGAAACACCTGCTTAAACCTTGTTGAATCCTGTCTTGAAAAACGAATTTACTCCAGGATACATTTGCTACGGCACTCGTGTCACAAAAAGCTATTTATATAAATTAAAAAAAACCTACTTAAGGCAAATTTACAAGACTAAGAAAATACTAATACTCTAAATTTCACTACAATTGTGACAGTTGCATTAATTTTTTCCTCTAATTGGAAACAATTATGTGATCGGATGAAAGATTGGACTGCAAAATTTCCCGCCTCTTTTACGGGGCGTCAACCTGAGGAGTCTCAGACATGACAGAAACGTCAATGTTTCTTCTACTGAACGCACAGCGCTGTTTGTAACTTCAGAGTCTTTGCTCTGGCCAATCAGACCAGAGATACCATGTCTCTTCGGTCAATAACTCCTCTACGGTTCCAGAAATACCCATCTACTCGGTAGTAAGAAGTAGCGAGGTTGCCGTAGTTTTAGGGATCCAATCACATCAGAGCCCCGAATGTTATGTTTCTCCCAGTGGCAGTTCTCTTCCACACAGTAGAGGGGGTATATTCCAGTTCAACGAGCTATCTCGCTCAAATGTCATCCATTATTTCTATACAGAGGCTACCACAACCATTAAGTGCCCACTGTCGGCAGCGCTGTCCAAGAGGTCTGGAGAAACTCGAGCCAAGTGCTCCTGGGCGAAATCGCACGGCGGGAAAATGTGAAGAACATAGCTAGGCTGAGGGACAAAACAATAGAAAAATAATAACAACCTAAATACTTACATGATCAACTTAGTTTTAAATAATTAACCATTCTTAATAAACCCTATCCTCGAACGTCAGGAAAACCAAAAATATAGCTGAAATATGCAAAGAAAATATTATTAGGAAAAAAGTAGCAGTGGAAAGAGGGAGAGGGCAGTAAAGTTTGCCAAATAGACTTGCGTGCTCATCATGGCGTCTTACATGAACCTCTTCCTGATGGGAATGAAAGGGCTAACCAGCCTTAACAACTCACAGCTTTTGCATCCATCATTTGGAGATAAAAAAACCCAGCATCACCAGCACCAGCTAGTGATATCGATTCGTGATTGACGAGTTCTGTAAAAACTTTACCTTTCGCAGAGGAAATGTTTATATACCCTCACTCACCTGAGAGCTGCCTGGCCGTGCTACATTGATGATCCCTGCCGCTTGTTTTTGTTGCAAATAGTTGATAAAACCACTCTTCAGCGCGCGTGTTTGGGCGTGGACATCCAAAGGATCTCGGCCACAAGGCAGCGCCAACAGAAGACAGTGATCTTTGTCCGACTGTTGAGAAAATCGCCAAGACCGTGGTGAGCTTATGTGATGTAGAAAGCGCGGTTAAAAAATCTCATAATATAAAACTACACGCCCTATGTTGTTGACCAATACTCAAACAACACTTCCAAGGTGAGATATGCCAAGAACAAGATTACAAGTGGAAAAACCGTAGGTCGGGTGTTTCTATACTTTAAAGTTTGAGTTACACTGTCATAGCCTTGAGTTGAATTCTGCCACGAGTTTGTCTTAAATGTTTTCTTAGAGGTTGTGCAAAGTTACCAAAACAAAACGTGCCTTATTTTTCGTGCTAATTATAGTGATTTAAAATGGCTACGTCGAGACGTCTTCATCCCGACAAATTAAGCAAAAATTTTTCTAGATCGTTGTTAACAATCCGTTTGAATCTATTCCTATCTGGTCATCTATATTCATCTGCCGCTTTTTGTTTCCTCTTTTAGGTAATTCTGTCTCACTAAACTAACAAGCTGCAAGAAGTTTTCACACAAAACGAAAAATGACCCAGTTCGTGTGCAGTATACCGTTGAGTGTCACGGCCGCCTACCTGCATCCTCCTTATGACACCTTCCAACTGTGACGGTTCCAACTTCATACGCTGAGCGATTCGAATTGGAGGAGGGACACCTCCTACCCCATTGGTAGGTGCCTGTGGTAAGGATACCTCCGCCAAGCGACCGTTACCGGCCAGATAATGCATTTGCACGGCTGCAGAGTCGTTTTTCAGAGCCAGTAGCCCCTGCCAGACGACTGGATACCGCCGCAATAGGTCTAACAACGTGTCCGTGTTCGACGGCTGTGGGACAGCTGACGAAAGGTTGTAGTCAGAGTGTGGTGGGGGAGGAGGGGGTAACCCTTGGGGAGATCCCAAATCTGGTGCCACAGGTACCCCAATAGGTAACCCGGGAGAGTGCACTGTTAATGGAGGTGTGGAAACGTTCGCTGGGGCCGCGACCGCTGGGTTCAGCGGTATACCAGGAGGGGGAATGGGACTAAGAGTAGCAGGGGAAGATCCCAAGGGCACCGACCGAGTTCCATCATAATGTACTGGCGGTGCTGTAGCTATGTCATATGATGACACCTGTGCGGGAAGCCCGTCTGGAGATGGGCCTACTCTTGTTAACATTTCGGTGGGTGGGTAGCCTTCTGAAACCTCTCGGGGCGGAGGTGGGGGTGGAGGGGGAGGTGGTGGCGATTCACCGTCCGACATCCGTCGTCGTTTTTGTCTCACACCATCCGTCTTCTCCCAGTCACGCCTTCGCTCGTCTCTGTGCGACTTCCGAGGTGAGCGGCTCCCAGATTCGCGTGGAAATTCCCTTTCTTCCCTAGACGGCCTGTCCTCCGCAGAATGCCTTCGAACAGGTTTCTTACTTTCAAATTCGGGTTGACCAAACCTCTTACTTTCAGGAACATGGCCATCCCTGATTTCAGGTGTGTGCAAGTCAGCAGCAACACTGTCTCTTGGTTTATTGACAGACACCGCCACATCAGAGGCCTCCTTACCAGCTGCATCCTCGGTGAGCGCAGTTTCTTCCTGCAGCTCTCGCTCTTCCTCTTCTTCGCCCAGCGAAGCTCGAAAACGCCTGTGTTTCCTTCTTTTCTTTACATCCCTTTTCTCCTTTTTTCTGACGCCCTTTTCAGGCGGAGGAGATGCTGGAGCAAGTTCCCTCTCGCCGTCTTTAACAAGTGTTTCTAAAGCCCTGGTACCATTACCGTCCACCCGTCGCTCGTCCCAGACATCGTCCCGCGTCCCCTCTTTACCCTTTTGTACAGCAGTCGCGGTATCACCGTCCCTACTTCCTTTCCTCGGCTCCTTCTCCTCGAGACCTCGCTTCTCCGCAGACCCCTCACCTCCACTTACAGTTTCTTTCTCTCCATCCACCGTTTCAGGAGTAGGCGAGCGAGGTTTCCTTCTCTTTTTATCCTTCCTCTTCGGTCGCTTTTCTTCCTGCTCAATGTCACGACTTGACGGCTTACTGTGCACGGCGGCCCGCTCATCATCTTCACTATACCCAGCTCTTTCTCGGTCAGGTTCGACCGGGAATTCCCGCGAACGTGTGTCTTTACGATCTCGTGGTTCTTCGTAGGAGCCCGAGCTACTTCTGTTCTCCGGCCAGCGTTCTTGATTGTCTTGATAAAAGCGTTCATTTGCACTGTAGGTGCCATCTTCCCTGTCCCTGTCTCGTGTGCCTCTCTCATGTCTCTGCCGGCCCTGTTCTTTTTCTCTCTCTCTCTGTCGACTGAAGTTATAATCCCGCAGTTCCTGATCATAGTCATCTGACTCGTCTCCACCCATCTCATACGACGAGCGGTAACGAGCATGGCCTTTCTGGTGGTAACCGCTGCCCTCAGGATAGTCATAGTTGCCGCCGCTTCTATGCCAAGGTCGGTGATTGGACATCTCG